CCGCTACCGGCCAAAAACCGCGCGATTTTCGCCGCTACCGGCCAAAAACCATGCGATGTTCGCAGCTGACGGGCAAAAATCGCGATTTTTGCCGCTAGCGGCCAAAAATCGGGCTATTTTTGCCGCTAACGGCCGAAAACCGCGCTATTTTGCGCAAAAACCATGCGATTTTCGCAGCTGGCGGACAAAAATCGCGATTTTCGCCGCTACCGGCCAAAAATAGCGCGATTTTCGCCGCTACCGGCCAAAAACAGCTCGATTTTCGCCGCTACCGGCCAAAAACCATGCGATTTTCGCAGCTGGCGGGAAAAAATCGCGATTTTCGCCGCTACCGGCCAAAAATAGCGCGATTTTCGCCGCTAACGGCCAAAAACCGCGCGATTTTCGCCGCTACTGGCCAAAAACCAAGCGATTTTCGCAGCTGGCGGGTAAAAATCGCGATTTTCGCCGCTACCGGCCAAAAATAGCGCGATTTTCGCCGCTACCGGCCAAAAACCGCGCGATTTTCGCCGCTACCGACCAAAAACCATGCGATTTTCGCAGCTGGCGGGCAAAAATCGCGATTTTCGCCGCTACCGGCCAAAAATAGCGCGATTTTTGCCGCTAGCGGTCAAAAATCGGGCTATTTTTGCCGCTAACGGCCGAAAACCGCGCTATTTTGCGCAAAAACCATGCGATTTTCGCAGCTGGCGGGCAAAAATCGCGATTTTCGCCGTTACCGGCCAAAAATAGCGCGATTTTCGCCGCTACTATCCAAAAACCGCTCGATTTTCGCCGCTACCGGCCAAAAACCATGCGATTTTCGCCGATGGCGGGCAAAAATCGCGATTTTCCCCGCTACCAGCCAAAAATAGCGCGATTTTTGCCGCTACCGGCCAAAAACCGCGCGATTTTCGCCGCTACCAGCCAAAAACCATGCGATTTTCGCAGCTGGCGGGCAAAAATCGCGATTTTCGCAAAAACCGGCCAAAAATAGCGCGATTTTCGCCGCTACCGGCCAAAAACCGCGCGATTTTCGCCGCTAACGGCCGAAAACCGGCCAAAAACCATGCGATGTTCGCAGCTGGCGGGTAAAAATCGCGATTTTTGCCGCTAGCGGCCAAAAATCGGGCTATTTTTTGCCGCTAACGGCCGAAAACCGCGCTATTTTGCGCAAAAAAAACCATGCGATTTTCGCAGCTGGCGGGCAAAAATCGCGATTTTCGCCGCTACCGGCCAAAAATAGCGCGATTTTCGCCGCTACCGGCCAAAAACCGCGCGATTTTCGCCGCTACCGGCCAAAAACCATGCGATGTTCGCAGCTGACGGGAAAAATCGCGATTTTTGCCGCTAGCGGCCAAAAATCGGGCTATTTTTGCCGCTAACGGCCGAAAACCCGCGCAAAAAACCATGCGATTTTGCTGGCGGACAAAAATCGCGATTTTCGCCGCTACTGGCCAAAAACCATGCGATTTTCGCAGCTGGCGGGCAAAAATCGCGATTTTCGCCGCTACCAGCCAAAAATAGCGCGATTTTTGCCGCTACCGGCCAAAAACCGCGCGATTTTCGCCGCTACCAGCCAAAACCATGCGATTTTCGCAGCTGGCGGGCAAAAATCGCGATTTTCGCCGCTACCGGCCAAAAATAGCGCGATTTTCGCCGCTACCGGCCAAAAACCGCGCGATTTTCGCCGCTACCGGCCAAAAACCATGCGATGTTCGCAGCTGACGGGCAAAAATCGCGATTTTTGCCGCTAGCGGCCAAAAATCGGGCTATTTTTTTCCGCTAACGGCCGAAAACCGCGCTATTTTGCGTAAAAACCATGCGATTTTCGCAGCTGGCGGACAAAAATCGCGATTTTCGCCGCTACCGGCCAAAACCGCTCAAATTTCGCCGCTACCGGCCAAAACAGCTGCGATTTTCGCCGCTACCGGCCAAAAACCATGCGATGTTCGCAGATGACGGCCAAAAATCGCGCGATTTTTGCCGCTAGCGGCCAAAAATCCGCGCGATTTTCGCCGCTAACGGCCGAAAACCGCGCTATTTTGCGCAAAAACCATGCGATTTTCGCAGCTGGCGGAGAAAAATCGCGATTTTCGCCGCTACCGGTCAAAAATAGCGCGATTTTCGCCGCTACCGGCCAAAAACCGCGCGATTTTCGCCACTACCGGCCAAAAACCATGCGATGTTCGCAGCTGGCGGGCAAAAATCGCGATTTTTGCCGCTAGCGGCCAAAAACCGGGCTATTTTTGCCGCTAACGGCCGAAAACCAAGCGATTTTCGCAGTTGGCGGGAAAAATCGCAATTTTCGCCGCTACCGGCCAAAAACCGCGCGATTTTCGCAGCTGGCGGACCAAACACCATGCGATTTTCGCAGCTGGCGGGCAAAAATAACGCGATTTTCACCGCTACCGGCCCAAAACAGCTCGATTTTCGCCGCTACCGGCCAAAAACCATGCGATGTTCGCAGCTGACGGGCCAAAAATCATGCGATGTTTGCAGCTGACGGGCAAAAATCGCGATTTTTTGCCGCTAACGGCCGAAAACCGCGCTATTTTTGCGCAAAAACCATGCGATTTTCGCAGCTGGCGGACAAAAATCGCGATTTTCGCCGCTACCGGTCAAAAATAGCGCGATTTTCGCCGCTACCGGCCAAAAACCGCTCGATTTTCGCCGCTACCGGCCAAAAACCATGCGATGTTCGCAGCTGACGGGAAGAAGAAATCGCGATTTTTGCCGCTAGCGGCCAAAAATCGGGCTATTTTCGCCGCTAACGGCCGAAAACCGCGCTATTTTGCGCAAAAACCATGCGATTTTCGCAGCTGGCGGGGAAAAATCGCGATTTTCGCCGCTACTGGCCAAAAACCGCTCAAATTTCGCCGCTACCGGCCAAAAACTATGCGATTTTCGCAGCTGGAGGGCAAAAATCGCGATTTTCGCCGATACTAGCCAAAAATAGCGCGATTTTTGCCGCTACCGGCCAAAAACCGCGCGATTTTCGCCGCTACCAGCCAAACACCATGCGATTTTCGCAGCTGGCGGGCAAAAATCGCGATTTTCGCCGCTACCGGCCAAAAATAGCGCGATTTTCGCCGCTACCGGCCAAAAACCGCGCGATTTTCGCCGCTACCGGCCAAAAACCATGCGATGTTCGCAGCTGACGGGCAAAAATCGCGATTTTTGCCGCTAGCGGCCAAAAATCGGGCTATTTTTGCCGCTAACGGCCGAAAACCGCGCTATTTTGCGTAAAAACCATGCGATTTTCGCAGCTGGCGGACAAAAATCGCGATTTTCGCCGCTACCGGCCAAAAATAACGCGATTTTCGCCGCTACCGGCCCAAAACAGCTCGATTTTCGCCGCTACCGGTCCAAAAACCATGCGATGTTCGCAGCTGACGGGAAAAAAATCGCGATTTTTGCCGCTAGCGGGCCAAAAATCGGGTTTTGGCCGCTAACGGCCGAAAACCGCGCTATTTTGCGCAAAAAACCATTTTTCGCAGCTGGCGGCCGAAAACCGCGCGATTTTCGCCGCTACCCCCCGGTCAAAAATAGCGCGATTTTCGCCGCTACCGGCCAAAACAGCTCGATTTTCGCCACTACCGGCCAAAAACCATGCGATTTTCGCAGCTGGCGGGAAAAAAATCGCGATTTTCGCCGCTACCGGCCAAAAACCGCACGATTTTCGCCGCTACTGGCCAAAAACCAGCGATTTTCGCAGTTGGCGGGGGGAAAAATCGCAATTTTCGCCGCTACCGGCCAAAAAACCGCGCGATTTTCGCCGCTAACCCCAGCCAAACACCATGCGATTTTCGCAGCTGGCGGGCAAAAATCGCGATTTTCACCGCTACCGGCCAAAAATAGCGCGATTTTCGCCGCTACCGGCCCAAAACCCGCGCGATTTTCGCCGCTACCCGGCCAAAAACCATGCGATGTTCGCAGCTGACGGGCAAAAATCGCGATTTTTGCCGCTAGCGGCCAAAAATCGGGCTATTTTTTGCCGCTAACGGCCGAAAACCGCGCTATTTTGCGCAAAAACCATGCGATTTTCGCAGCTGGCGGACAAAATCGCGATTTTTCCGCCGCGGCCGCTAACCGGCCAAAAATAGCGCGATTTTCCTCCGCTACCCGGCCAAAAAAACAGCTCGATTTTTCGCCGCTACCACCGGCCAAAAACCATGCGATTTTTCGCAGCTGGCGGAAAAAATCGCCTGATTTCCGCCGATACCGGCCAACAAAATAGCGCGATTTTCGCCGCGACCGGCCAAAACCCGCGCGTTTTTTCGCCGCTACTGGCCAAAAACCAAGCGATTTTCGCCAGCTGGCGGGGAAAAAATCGCGATTTTCGCCGCTAACCGGGCAAAAATAGCGCGATTTTCCGCCGCTACCCAAAACCAAAACGGCCAAAAACCGCGCGATTTTCGCCGCTAACCGACCAAAAACCATGCGATTTTCGGAGCTGGCGGGCAAAAATCGCGATTTTCGCGCCGCTAACGGCCAAAAATAGCGCGATTTTTGCCGATAGCGGTCGTCAAAAATCGGGCTATTTTGCGCCGCTAACGGCCGAAAACCGCGCTAGTTTTGCGCAAAAAACCATGCGATTTTCGCAGATGAGAGGGCAAAAATCGCGATTTTCGCTCGCCGTTACCGGCCAAAAATAGCGCGATTTTCGCCGCTACTATCCAAAAACCGCTCGATTTTCGCCGCTACCCGGACAAAAAAACAATCCGATTTTTCGCCGAAGGCGGGCAAAAATCGCGATTTTCCCTCTCCCCGCTAACCAGCCAAAAATAGCGCGATTTTTGCCGCTCCCAACCGGCCAAAAACCGCGCGCGATTTTCGCCGCTACCAGCCAAAAAAAACATGCGATTTTCGCAGC